GTGATTACACGTTAGTAAAACGGTCCGCACAAGTGTGACGGCGTGAAAATGGCGCCCCCCTGAATTTGGCCACAACGCCATAAAACACCAGAATACGAGACGTGCTGTGTCTGTGCTCCAATTGGCCTGAAATTTTACATGAGTGCTCCGAGTCTCAGCCAGAGCGCGTTTCCACCCCGGCCAACACGCACGCCACCACGGCTCGCCACTAAACAGGAAGTGGCTCGTAACTAGGCCACGCTTGCTCCGATCTGCCCCAAACTCCACATGCCGGATCACAGTCCCGCCGTGCGCGAAGGCCGACAAGCATAGGGCGAGGACCCGTCCATCGCCGCTTGCGGCTTTAATTATTATTGATTTTACTATGTTTTTTTGGGTGATTTCTTATCTCTGTCCTTCATGTGCATAATGCAACATTTTGAATTATTACTAGTTTAAACTAAACATGTAATAATTCAAATTATTTTCTCATATTAGTAATATTCCTGTTATAAAAGTATACATATATCTCATGTTGCCATTCTGTACGCTGAGTTTTAGGAGCTCATATATTGATTTGACATAATACCTTGTGTGCGTGTATATTCACTGCACCTATCTGAGGTCCAATGAGGGAAATAAGTAGGTGATCCCAATACTTTTGACCAGAAGTGTAACATAATTATCCGTAAGTGCAGTGCTATAACTACACCTCTGACGTTTGTTTAAAAAAAAAAAAAACAGTTGAAAATCAGTAGAAAATTGAGCATGTTATGGTTATTTAAAAAGTACATGCACCATTACAACACAATGTTATGGGTGAGTAAGCAGACCGTACCAAGATGGCCGCCAGTGTGGCCGTGCTTCCATTGGCCAGCAGCGCGGACGAGACATCGAGCCTTCATTATACATATCTATGATTCACACCATGAAAGGATGGATACGAGAAGCTACTGTAGGATATGGACAGACACAGATGCTCAAAAAGGATTCAAAGAACTTCATGTGAACCCCAGGTCACATGCCATAAAAGACATAACTGTCCTGAAAGTCACAGGATCATGTAAATCAACTCTGAAGACGGAGGGAGCAGAGCCCATTGGGAATTTCCTTATCACATTTACGTCGAGCCTCAAAGGATCTAATACACATGAGCTTTTGGGGGAAGACAAAGAAAAACATTCAAGACCACTCAGACCTTAACAAAGGGTCCAGATGGCCAGGCGCAATGAAGTGCCCTGGGCTTAACGTATTGCTCTGCTGACCCCCCCATTTCCTGTGGCATGCAACAAAGAACTTAACAAGAACTGAACTTATCAATGAACAATAAGACACAGCACCAGAAGATGTGCCTT